AAATGCATATTTATCAACAAAATAAATGCTTTCATGCAGGACCGGATTAAACACTAAACCTAGGAATTTTAAATATTATTTTAATAATGCCTTTTTTATTTTCGTCTTAAACTATTTGTGTTCATTTAAATACCCATGATAAGAGAGCTGTATATTTAAAATATTTGAGTAAAACTTGATGATCACGTTCTATAATAGTAACTGCTTTATGAGAGTTATAATAACATATTAAATCACTTTAGATCTTTAATTGAAAATATGGAACTAAAAAAGATGCTCAAAATGAAACTTAAAATATTGTTAATTATTGAGTTATTGATAGTAAATATTGTAAGAACTATGTGTCCTTTGGATTACTACGCTCCAGGCTTAGTAAAATCTTAATCTGGTTCTGTTCTAATACAGTTTTAATAGTGTATACTTTTCATCGCCATACCAAAATTAATTAAAATTAATTAAAAGCCCAAAGAGGTGTTTTCTCATTTGTTACAAATCATATGAAATTGCATAAAAATTTCGAAATAAAAATTATGAATCATCATAAAAATCGGATATATATTATATTTACTTTATAGGTAGTGTCACTGCTAGTATTTAATACTTACACATTTGTATTATATAAAATTTTGTTTAATATTCATTTGATTCGTATTAATCTTTTACTTATTTTCTGTCATAAGTTGAACTAGAATATAATTAATTTCGGTTGCTATAATGATCACCATTATAAGAACGAGAATGGGCTAATTTCAACTTTTCTAGTGTAAGTATTATTTTATTTTATATTTCATCATTGTTATGTACAGTGTTGGGAATAGATAATGCAAAATTTATCTAGATAAAGATAAAAGATAATTTCATTTTTATCTGGATAAAAAAAGATATTTTCAAAAAATGTTATTTTTTAGTCAATATTTCATATTCTAATAATATCTATAAAGACTTAATTATAATCAGAAGCGTATTTAGAAATGTTTTATTGGTGGGGGGGTACAAAAAAAAGTTCAAATTATACATAGTTATAACTTTTCCATTTCAACAAAACTGTGGTTATTCATAACCAAGTAATCAAAATACAAGTGTTTGATAGAAACAAAAACTTTTATTACACAAATTTATAATAAAACATATTTTTAAATATAATTTTTGTAATTTCAATAACTGAAGACGTCTGGGATGTTTATTAGCATATGCATGACTTCAAAATTTATAATTATTTCAGGGTGTATATTTATGTGTATATTCAGTGTGTGTATTCAGGTTGTAAATAATGGTAATCCGTTTAATCGATGGTATCATATTATCATGATGTATTGATATTCCAGTATTTCACCGTGTACCTGTGCTTGAAAAAGGGCCTACAATAATAAATAAAGTATAAAATACGGTTAATGGGGGGGGGGGCACGGGCTCCATGAGCCCACCTCTTAAATACGTCCCTGATTATAATCATTATTATCAATAGGTACCTAAGTGTTTAATTTTTATTGTAGTTATGTAGTGTACCATTAAGCAGTATTTATAAATAATATACAATATTTAATGATAGATAATCACTAAAATGTTAGAGAAAAAAAAAAATGAAAATTGCTCTGTACGTAATCAGGATGAATACAGAATACATAAAAAAATATTTTAAGTTATCAATATTGTTTTCCGTATAATATTAATTTGATGATTTTCAATGATTTTCATTATTTTATATTAAGTAGTTACGACTTTACGGCTTCCAAGAGTGAAGTAATAACTATTCAGCGTATGAGTTACATGTGTATACTTAAATCAAATACCTATTATAATTGGAACTTCCATGGGAAAATAAGAAATTAAGTTTAAAAATACCAAAAATATTTTCCCGACATAAATATTCAAATAAAATGACATACCAAGAAGTAATAATTACTTTTTAATAATACACGAATTATGATTATGAATACAAAATCTAAATGTATAAAAGAAAGTCAGGTTATTTACAGAATTTATAATTCAAGTAAGGCTGGGCCGATTTTGATGATCTCTGATTTGTTAGATTCGTCTCCGTACAAGAATAAAAATAACTCTAATCTTGGCAAGAATACAGACAATTATCTAGATAAAATTATCTAGATAAGTAAAAGTTTTATCTTAGATAAGTAATTAGATAACTTGGCATTATTTATCTAGATAAGATAAAAGATGACAAAAAATCTATCAAGATAATTTATCTAAATAAATTTATCTAGATAAGTCCCAACACTGGTTATGTAATTCTAGCTGTTATGTTTTCATTTCAGGAACAACTTTTGTTAGCTGTTATTTCTAGACATCGACAGTTTACAGTGTTCTATAACTTACTAAAACAAAGTTATCTCCTTTTCTCTCTTTTATGTATAAATTGTCTCCATTCTTTGTTTTGAATGAATCATCAAGTTTAGGTACCAATTCGACCTTAGTTTTTAGTTACAAGGAAAGAGGAACTAAATAATTCCGAAATAAATACGGTTAACCGATTTTCTTCTTCACGGGTTTTTTTTTTTTAGCTTCTTTTGAACTGATTGATATGCAAAAAGGATTCCTTTTGTAAATACGACCTTCTTAACTTCAAAACGTATCAGACTGGACAATATTAGAAACCTATGGCATTGGAGAGGAAAGACAATAAAACACTTTTAAGGTTATGCAAACAATTTTTTTATTAATTCGTTTGTTTGACACATTTTTGGAAATAACTTATCCTTGTGTAATATATTCTTATCTTTTTTTCCTTTTAAAACAAAATTATTCTAAAATAAAATGGCATTAGAAATTTCACTAAATAAAACATACTATAATTTTAATGATCATGGTTGTTATTTTCGTTTGGATAATACAAAGCCTAACAAAATAATTTTACTAAATATGTATTACTGGTTTCATTTTCAGAATCATAATATTTATTAAAACCTTTATTTTACTACAAATATTTTTTCAAACTAGTTGTTACTTTTATATGAACATTAAAAATTAAATATCGAAGAAAAATAGATCAATATTAAGGGCTAGTCCAGATCACACTATTACATATATATATATATATATATATATGTATATATTAATCTTTAGTAATAATTTAATAGAAGTTTGGTATTTAAATTTTTCGTATGAATTATTGAGAAAAATATTTTGTTTTAGAATGTGTCATTGAACTATACGTAGCTGTTATATATACTCATAATATATACAATTACTCATAATATACAATATATACAATTACTCATATATACAATTAAACAATTGTCTAATATATATTTAAACGTTTGGGGTACTGAACTAAGTAAATTAATTGCTCATAATTGAAAAATGTAAATTATAATATATTATATCGACAAAATCTATATAGATTTATAGTGTAAACTGAAATATCAAATGAAGAAATCATTATTTTGGTAATGCAATGTTGTCTTCATAGTGTCTAAGTACTGATTAAAATGGATTTCAATTTCAATTATTGTAAAACATCCAATAGTATTATGGACGATATAAATGATAAGGTTTATATGTACGATTGTGTGATTAAACACTCCATTAGAACGGTAAAAAAAAACCTCGTAAACTGTTTAACGGGTCGCATAATCATTGTAATGGTATTCATACAATATCCAAAGAAAACCATCTTATCAGTATATTCGTTATGTATTATAACTCAATTAATACAGAATAAATTAATTAAATGTATTTGGGTTTCGCTAAAAATACCAAAAACATACTATCTTGATACTGGAATAACGTAATTAGAAATCAATGCAACACAACACATGATATGATACTATTTTTGAAACTTATTTGTTTTCTATGTATAATTAAATATTAACAGATTTGCAAACCAACTTTAGTTTATACTTTTATTATTTTTATTCGATTAAAATAATGCTTCATAATTGAAATTTAAAAATAAAATGAACGATATATTTTGAACACAAATTATGTCATTTTTCTTTTACGTAATATTCTTATTATAGGTGCATGTGCTCAAAAACATGATAACATCTTATGTTTATTTTTTAATATTTTACTAAATTCCTAGCTTTTATCAATCGTTTGTTTTTTTAGCTAGTGATGTTTTTGTCTAATAATGTAAAATACAATTTGACTAGTTAATCACGCGTGAATAATACCGTAACACAACATTTCCAGTAAATATATTTCTTTCTCATTTATTTTAATTCAGTCGCACGGAAAATGTAAACATATCCTCGGGGGAAATTTATAATCAGAACGAGTTAAAACTTTTCTCGGGGAAAAATAACACAAAATTCAGGACGTGAGGCTACAGCAAGGAATATAATTGCTTATCGGTAGTGGTTTTGACGTCGTTAAAGCCCAAGGAAACACTATATGATTTAAGTGTTCTTAATTTTCTATGGCGCGTCATAACGGTTGGACCCAAAAGATTTTGCATTTAATTGTTTTCCCAGTGTTCTACCACTCTATCCAGTCACTATTCTTCAACCAGTTTTACAACTAGTACCCAAGTGGCCAATTCTTTCAACAACCTATTACACAATACAATAGTGGAGTAAACTTTATTTCCTATAACCAACTGTCTTACATGACTGATCTCACTCTTTTATGTACTTTTATAGTGATTTTAGAGTTACTGATTACAGTAGTAGGGTTAGTGGCGTTAAGTTATGTATGTATATGTGTGTGTGTGTGCGTGTGTCGGTTTAAACGCCTGATAAATGAACTTTTTCTATTATAAACGATGGTCGGTCAGTGAAACATGTAAGGTAGAAGGGTTAGGTGTCTGAACGAGTTTTAAACTGTCATTAAAACTTGTATCGCACATCCAAGTACGTTTTATTGAAGTTATAACGTGAAAACTTTAAGCTGCACAGTCAAAAAGAGGTAACAGTCAATGAGGTTCACACAATCAAGTGTACAAATTTTGTATAAATTTCGAAAAAATTGACCATCTAAAATTACAATTCATCAACGGCCATTTAAAACTTAATAATTATAAAATAAATACATGTACTAACCTCTAAGTTATTTATATACCAAGTGACTTGGGCTTCAGGAAATGTCATTTTTGCTGTACAGTTGGCTTCTAAATAGTCGCCCACGGTATACCACTGCCGGAGTCCTTCTATTCTTGGACCATCTTCGGGTAACGCTGTAAAAAATATATCAGAATAATAATGATAATAAACATGTTTTCTAGTAAAGTAAATAAATGTTACAATATTGTTTTAAAAGCAACACAATTTAATTTAGTATCCGTTTGAAATTTTAAAAGTAGCCGTTCTGAAATAAAATAATTATTATTCATTATGAATACCAAATATTACCAACGATTTATGTCACATATTATCTGAACCGTTCGTTCTCGCTATAATTTTAGAATGGACTAAAATATACAAAAATTTAAAAATAACTATGATAATAATTGCCGAATCCTACATGAATTTTAGATGAAATAAAATAAATACAAAACGTAATCAATAGTTACAAATGGTTATGAAATCAAATACAAAAAATAACTAAAACGGTTGTGGTTGCACACATTTAAATATTGTTTGATTAATTTATGAACTTCATATCCTTCTTATATTTTAAAATTAATATTTTATAATAAATTGTTGATCAATTAACAAAGAAAATCACTTTTACTGGAATATTTGTTTCATAAAGTAAAAGTTTTTTTATTCTACGTGTACATGCATCGAATTCGTTGAATTCAGATCACGAACAACTTTTGAAGTTAGCTCTTACTTTTGAAGTATGAATTCCAATATTGAATATTTAGTTTATTTTATCTTTGAATATCAATTATGTAAGCATACAAAAATTATATATGATTTTATAATACGTAAAAAAAGCATTCAAAGGACAATAATTTAACTGAAATAACAAAAAAATCTTCATATTTTTAATTTATGCATATTAATCAGTATGATGATTTATTATGAACAATTTTGCAGAACTTTTTAGATAACCAAAACTCTTATTATTAGTTATTCATGTTATAATGTTTATTATATATGTTTATTTTATGGGTGTATATCGTTATATATTACTAAACAAACCTAGAATATAATCTAAGATGTTTAAGATACAACGTTTTCAGCTCATTATAGAATTGTATTAGTTATAAGTTTGTAATTTTTCAATATAAAACAATGAGAAACAATGGAAATTACCACTTACCAAAATTTTTTTTTTTTTTTTATAAATTATCGAGAAAACACCAGTAGAATACTTCAAGCCAAGGGTCAGTTATAAGCGTTCAAAATTTGAAGACATTTTATTTATAATGGTTATTATCTAATACGACAAAAACAGCTTTTAAAATATTTTTCTTTTTTATCTTAATGTGCACATTTTTCTAGGTAGAATTTCTATGCACTTGTTATTTGTGAGTGAAATTATAATTTTATATATATTCTCTAAAGATTAAAAAGAATAAAAAATCAAACAAAACAAAAAATTTCTGATTATTTTCTTGATTTTTGACAATTTTTATTTTTAAACGTAAAAAATAACTATTTATTTAAATAAAATATACGAGATGAATCACTTGAATGAAAATTTAAAAAATATTAGATGTTAATGTATATTTCATATTCATGTGTTGTTATAATTAATGTTATACTTCCCATTATTTACAAGAACAATATTTTAATTGAAAACAAAAGAATTGATAAATTATGGTTTTTATGAACTACATTTTGGTTTATTTTAAAAATAATTCTGAACACTGGGAATTTATAATTTCCTGTCTTAAATTAAAATATCTATATGCTCATTCTGGTAAACGTATATTTCCCTCATATCACATAAATATTATGTATATTTATTATTGTTGTTATTGAAAATTATCGATAAATATTTATTAAATTTATAGTCAAATCACAATGACAATAATACAATAATTATGTTACCGATGACTGTCATATTGGCGTCTCCGACGACGGTGGGAAAATTCGGAGCATCCGTTGACACTTCGCATTTGTAATTCCCACTGCTCTTTCTCGTTAATGGGAATAGCGTCACCACCGTGGAAGATGACTTATTCTCCTGAAACGTTTAGTGTGGTTAGGAATATTGATGCCGTTTAATGTAGCAGATATATATATATATATATATATTTACATAACACCTATGTATTTCAATGAAATTTTAGGCACTGAAAACGATCGGAGAAACAGTGTATTGGTCCATAAAAATAGGGGGTTTTGGGACGTAATACGATGAATACGTATGAATACGAAAAAATGGTAATGTCTTGTACGGCGTATGATAATACGATGGATAAATGTATTGTACACGTTTCATCGGGGGGAGAAGGTAAAGGTTTTTTCTCCCCGAGCTTTTCGTGTAAAAACAGTGGCCAAGCATAAAGTACGATACAAATGTAATAATGTAGGTGATAATGTTTTCGATGTTTTTATATAGGTCAATGAGTTGAAAACTTTCACTATATGTATATATGTATTTGTGTAATTTGTACACAACTCGATGCACGTTTTCATATTCACATTTAACCGGCTTCAATTCACAACCCTCTCTCCGTCGTCATACATCTATATGTATAGCGTATCTCGTCAACCCTTCGATAAAGACGGTAATGCCTCCACCCTCGCATGCGTAAGAGGGTTTTTCTTTTCGCATTTTCACATACCCAACCAACGCCCTGGTCTACGTGGAGTCTACGTATTAGGATTGGGAATAAATTACCATTGGAAGGAAACGTCGAAATATATATAAACGCAACACATTTCGGTACTCCACTTACATCAACGTTGACGCCATCTAAATTGAACACGAGCGTCTTGGGATTGAGTCCAGGAGTGTATCGGAAGAACTCGTGCTCATCCTTGTACCATTTTACCGAGTAAAGGCTGTCGCCACCCGTATCATACTGACAGTTGAGAGTCACTGAGCTCCTAAGATCTGCCCATTGCGGTACTTCTAATTTCAATAGTTTAAGAGCTCCTTTGCCACCTAAAGAAAAAAAAAATAATCATAAATATAATTTTTTTGTAGTTCTTAATTTATCTGTCATTAGATTTCATATCAGTCAAGACCTTTGCCGTTTTATTTATCTTTATCATGACCATTAATATTTTTTATAAATATTAACAATTATAGCACTATAACACGTACATTAATGAACTTAAAAAATAATGATATGATCAAATTGATTACGATTTTATCAGTTTAGAGTTTAAATTGTTGGTACAGTCCCAAATTTTCTAATGTAAACTTAATCTGGATTATTTTATGATAAAAATCTGTACTATTTTGGATGATGTACACTTTATTTTATTAAAATACCTCCAATTAATTTTAACAAATTTGAATTGCAATATCAATGACACTAAAATTTAAGACTAAGTAATACATTTTTATGTACTCGCTCTTATATGAAAAACAAATTTCTTGGAAACGTAATGATGTTAAAAATATTCAAAGAGATGTTATCAGAATTTCAAACTTTAAAATAGAAGTTATTTTAGAAGTATATATAAAATTATAAATTATTTCACTAATTACTTAAAACAATAATCTCGAGAAATAAATTATTTATCAGCAATATATTTCCTCAACAGTTTATCGTGTTATTAAAATAAATTATGATGAGTTATATTTTAATATTATTTTGATACAATCAAACGTATTGAAGGCTGTATACAAAAGATACCTATGTAGAAAATATAAAAGGTGAAATATAGTCGATCGATTTGATAAATTATTATTTTTTAAGCTTTTAAATTGAAATTATTTTATTATTAGCAACAATAGGTAATCGACGTATTCTCTTGAAATAAGTTACTACTACATTTTCGTTTAGATTATAATTAATAGCAAAAAATACTTAAGCGTAAATCATATTTGTATCAAATTTGGAAGAAATAATTATATAAATATATTATAAACTATTAGCGAATAATAAAGGATATTGTCGTCAAAATAAAATGTTGATAGGAGGGTAATAAAATAATACTATATCATTGTGATAATAATGTTCAAATTTCAGTATAGTAACAATAGTATGTGTATTTTAATTGTAACATAATATGATTGGGGTTGACTTATAACATCTTATATTTTTGATGTATTATATTTTACCTGTCACATATTGCTCTTACAAGTGTATAACAGTAAAATGATTTACAGGATGAATATGAAAAAAAAAGTAAATGCAATGTTTAAATTTAAAAGATCTATGCGATGAACAAGGACAATTATTAGTAATGATGATTTAAATGTAGTTTAATCCTTTAAGATCCAACATATAGAAACAACAAGGGAAAAAAAATTAACATTTTTAATCATTCTTATTTTTCCGTGTGCATATAACAGTTGAAATTTACACAATAATTAACATTGAGACTTTTTTTTATCCATTTATCCTTTTATACAGTCAATAATTATCAAGAACAGCGATTCTTAATCTGTGACCCACGACCCTTTAGGGGTCTTCGGCAGCCTTAACACATAAAATACGTTAAACATGACATACAATGACATCAGTCATTCAATAAATATTGTTAGATTATTATTATTTCTTTTTTCATATATTTTTTATTATATAATAGATAAATTATATATTTATACGATGTTCAAATACTTGTGTCTCAAGTATAATACCAACTATTGCATTAAGTCAGTACAATTTAAATTTCAAGACTATAAAAAAAAAAAAAAAAAAAAAAAAAAAAATGAAAACTAAAATAATTAAATTTAAATGAATAAAGTGTTATAAAAATAACTATAAATATGTATGTACGATATTGTATTGTCATGTCTGCTAATGTAATTTATTATATAAAATAAATATTAGAATTTTGATTTTAATTACATGGATGTTTTGTAAAAAAAAATGTATTCAAAAAAAAATTGGTAAGGGGGTCCGCGATTTCTAAAAATCTTTTATCAGGGGTTCATGATCTACAAAAAATTAAGAACTGATAATAAAGAATGTATTAACTAGATTTGTAGTAAAATTATATTTTTTAAAAATATTATTTACATTTTCACAAATATCAGCGTACCAGCATCATTGTGAAAACTACTCAGTATAGTACAGTGTAACATAACTTACTTAAACTTAAATCGTGTTCAATTAAAATTTGTAACATGAAATATATTTGAATTCTAATAAAAATCATAATTTATCAAAAATATTTTACATTGATTTTCTATTGTCCATGTTAGAAAGATGGTTTTCATTTTATTGGTTTGCGGTATAATTGAAATCCTTTAATAAACTTTTTTGTGCACTTAAGTTACACTTTATAATTATAATGAAATATGGGTTTTATTGAGAAAACCGAAAAAAAATCAATGACATGGAAAGTCGGAGCACAAAGGAAATATTTATTGTATTCACAAAAGAATGTGAGAATCCGAGAGACACTGCGACTTAGGTCGGACTTAGAGGAATGTCAAATGACAGAGATAGAAACCAAAAAAAAAATATTTCCACGTGTGTTATCCATAACCTGGGGTCGCAACGTGTGCTTCAAGTTTAGTAAGGCGACTGTATAAGAAAAATAGTCTAACTCTTTATTTTCACCCTATACACTAGGCTACTGATACTGATAATACAGTTTCACCGATAAAACTAAATCAAAAAGATTATATCGACTTGGGAAAAATAAAAGTTTCATAAGGACCCCCGTGGGAACGTTATCCCGTTGTCTTGCGGTCGTAAAGGAACGTTTCGGTGCCTTTTGCGTTATCATTCTCTGTCAAAAATCTTTTTACGTTTTAATGTGCAACTGCCACACGGTCCTAAGCCAATTCCATATGGATAAAATGTATGATAGAAAAAAAAATGTACTATCTGTACTGAACTACTAAAGATGTGATCAATAAAATATTGTTCGATCGCTAGATCTGGAAATCGTCTCAATTACCTAGTAATTGTTTATAATATTCACTGATACCGTTTTCGGAGACTTAATGACATTCGGATTGTAATTGTTATGTGATTTCACGATTCTAGGAAGAGACTGTATCTTAACGGTCAGTTAGACCAAAAGGTCTGATTGAATTAATAATAGTTTACAACACCAAATTAGTTGGCACAAAAGCCAGAGAAACTGAAGGATATATTTAAACTTTAGACTGAGAAAGTAGATATAGAGGCTGACTAACACCGATATATCCCATTAAACTTACCACTTTCTATAGCTAGGTCTGCAATTAACTAGTTAAAACTGATGATCCAGCTGCTTTAGTATTAACTCGGCCACATTAATTACCGGTCGGGGCCTTGGATCGTTTGACAATGAACGGATATATCAAACCTTAATGGTTTCTAAAATTAGAAAGTACGGATTTTATCTTTAGCAGGTAATTTCTTAGGTAAGATTCTAAAAGAAACCGAGTTCTCATAAATAGGTACATTGTACATATGTCGCGCCAAATCAGATTGTCAACTGCTGAAATTAACTTACAATTCATAAATTGTAACAGCGACTCTCATTTAAAATGAAATAAAGTGAAGAATAATACAGTTCATAAGAAGGTCATTAACCCTTTATAGGGCACAGAAAAAATATTGTACGATTTCTACCAAATTTTCAAATTTACTTCTTAACAGATGTAAGATACTTTAAAAAATGTCAAAAATTCGTAACTTCATTTACATTGGTAAAAAAAGGGTGAAAAATAATTTCCCACTGAGCATTTAGTTTCGTATTTATGTACCATTGGCAGAGGGAAATAATTTTCTATTTAATACCATACTACAATTTTTTTTTTTAATTTTAACTATTTTTATGCCAAAAAATGTATATATGACATGCTAAATAGGTATTTAATTGTATTTTAAGATATATGACACCTGAAGATACAAATCTTCTCAACTGATAAATAAAATTCTTATGATATTATAGTAAACCTTATAATTTATTATAATAATTAAAACACGTTATTTATATTCATATGCATAAGTACACGTATTGTTCTGTAATATATCTGATACATTAATTTTTTCCCAGTAAAGCGAAATATGAACCCATAGCTTGATGATTTGTTTTTTCAAGAAATAATATAGCTTTTTTTGTCACGCCTGCACCAAAGTTTTTGGTTTTCAACCATGGTTGGAGTATTGGAGAGCGAACTTTTTTTGTCCAGCGAGTGGTTAAGTAGAATTCCTCATAGTTCTTTGCGGTAAAGTGGAAATATCAAGAAGTACCAGGCGGAAAAATGGAAAACCCTAAAATGTCGAGCGGTAAAGTAAATTTCCCAAAAAATGCCGGACGGTCAAGTGGAAATCCACAAAAGTGCTGGTCATATTCCCAGCATGACCAGAATACTTTTACCACGAACGCAGGAACGTAACAAAAAAAAAAAAATAAATAAAAAAATACTATGTATGGCTCGCGCGTGATGACGATTTCAATCTTTGGCGAAATGTGGCCCTCGCCCGCAATTGAAATACCTTATTTCTTACCCTTGCCATCAAGTGTGGCTCGTATGGGAAGACTTTGGGACTGCGTCTCCCCTTAAAAAAAAATAAAATAAAACAATTACTTGTAAATAATAAATTTTTTAAAATGTATAGAAATATTTTTATTTTTAGTGAAAATATGTAATACAGCGCTTTCTATATTTATTATTATAAATTTAAGGTCACAAAATATAAAACCTATAAATGGTTATTTTAATGGACACACTATTTTAGTAATTTCAATGACGGTCGTAGTTTTAGTGAAACTGACGTCCGGACAGTTTCAATCGTAACATGAAATGGTTTAGCTTGTTTGATAGAAGGGGCCGAGGGGAATAATCCACGTATTATAGACGCTTTTAAAACTGGGTTCACGACAATGGCAGTTCCGTGCCATCCCGCCATCGTTAGTCGCTACACACCGTCTTTTACGAATTCACAGATAAAAAAAATTGCAGAATTGAATTAGTATATAAAAGTTTACAGTTAAAAACGTTAAAAAAATTAACCGATTATTAAATTCAGTATTAAGTATAAT